ACGGAGGCACTGCACTGCACAGGGGCAGCAGGCTCCCGAAAAATAAGAAAAAGAGGCAGAAACTGAGGAAGACTGAAAATTATTACAGTGCAATCAGAAGATCTGTTAGTAGTTGGAAAAACGTTATCTGAAGAAATGTATATATGAATAAAGCAGGGGTTGCATCAAGAGTGTAACAAAAACAACTTTGGGAAAACAAGCACAAATGATCTCTAGTGAGACTACACCACAATCAAGGTACAACCGTGCTGAAGCCAGAAAGGGATAACAGTTCAAGTAAAGATATTTGTCTCTGAAAAGGAATTGTTTTTCTACATACCTGTCCAGTCTCCTACTACTTTAAGGTGGACCCCAAACGTTGCTTTGGTATCTGTAGGGCACTAAAAATATTAAATATGTTAAGGACCACTTCTAAGTAACAAGAAAATAACAAAATGCATTCAAACTACAGTTGCTAAGACAGTACCTGGTGTAAATACATCATTCCTGAGCAGCCATACCAGCAGCTACACCCTTTAAAAAGCAAGTCTAGCATCAATACAGTTCAGGAAGCAAGCATGGCTAGTCTCCACTCAGTCTTAACCCCTTCTTCTGGCCACAGAGGCAGCTGGCATGCATTTGTCTGGGGGTGTGATTTGGAACAGCCACTTCATTAAGCATTACTCAGTAGTGATACCAACTGAAGATACAACAGTACAGAAATACTCACTCTACTACTGACACTTATCATTCAAAATCAGGAACTGCCCCATCATTCCTAAGTCAAGGCATTTAAGACACTTTTGGTTCTTGAATGTAAGGGCACATGTTTTCAAGCTGATCAGTCTCACACAACTGACGCTTATGGAGACTGAGATTTTGCTGCAGTTCACAAGAGCTTAGAGATTGCAAAGGAAAAACACCAGATTGGATAGCACATCATAAAAACCACTTTGCAGCCACCATTCTTTCACTCTGCACCTATGCCCTCACCTTGGGGCTACTTACTTGTGACTATCAACACAGGAATGACATTATCTACAGTCTTATTTACACCATGGTATCCAAAAACATCCAGTGAAGCCATGTCAAAGGTCTAAGGAGCCTCCTCAGTTTCATTCCTTGTTAGCTACAGGGAGATTTCAAATGCACTGTCTAGACAGCTTTTGCAGGTACACCAAATGATTTCACACATAAACAGGACAAGCAACCATTCCTCAAGAAAAGATTCTTCACTTTCCTTCTATTAACCAACACCATTGGGGTTTTTTGATAGAAGATATTACTACTTACTCAGTTTTGACATCTTTCCTCGAATCTGTTAATGATTGATGCAAGCTCCATCATAAATCTAACACCCAACACATGACACTCCTGTCTTTTTTTGTTTCTACTGCTACAAACAAATATGAATTCTGAGGAGAGGGCTTAAATTCAAGGAACACATCTATATTATAAATAAAAGAGGCCCAGGTAGTGAATCCAAGCACCAAATACTCAGTCATCCACCATGCGTGTGGGGACACTTCTTGGGTCTGTTCTGGACCATTGCCATTAGCATTCCCAAGATAATCTGTTGGGGAGTGGGAAACAACTGGTCTCAGGGCTGAGGATCAGTTCCTATCAGTTCCTTAATTAGCAGCAGAGACAGTTAAAAGGTTAGTATTCTCCACATCCTGGCAAACCTCAAACAGGGCATACAATGTCCAGGCTAGTCACTCCATTTTCCTGAAGGGGAAGAGCATTCTTGTTAAGGAGTGCCGATTACCAGACAGACTCATATTTTCCCTTGTCATCTTTCAAATTTTGCTATAAAATTTTGGTACAGAAACTTAAGAGTCAGAATTATTTCAGCAACTCTTAGCCTTAAAAAAAAAGGCATCAAAGGAGGGATGCAGGCAAACCTCACACGACAAGGCCAGTATTTGCTGTGGCTAGCTGCAACGTCTCCCAACAAAAATATCAAGACCAATTCTCCATATAAAAGTAGGTAAGCAGCATCTCAGCTAGAAAGTCGTAAACTGGCGGCAAAAAGATCTGTTCTCCTAGGAGCTTCTGCAAGAGCATTTAGCAGAGTTTATTTTTCAGTCTGGGCACTCTCTCAGTTTCATAGGAGGTTGAGTGATTTTCTTAGTCCAGCTATGCACAGTCCCAGTTCAGCACATCTTCTGTAAAATTGTCTGTCATTCCCTCCTTCCATTAAAGTTAATAGCAGAATACCCCTTGTCTCCAGCCAGAATAAGTTGAAACCTGTTACTCTTTACATCACCCTTGTGACTAATTCCTTTCTGCACTGCTTTGAAAAATTATCCAATAAAAAAAGAGATTTATTTCTCCTTAGACTGTAGGAAGCCTGTTTTGATACCTATAACTGGGTATGAGAGTTCCTCAGAGAGTTCTGGAAAAATCTTATTGTGCTGCTAAATCTTACCAGAAGAAACATGTCCATCATATAGGCTACACAGAGTGAATTAGCCCCAGTTCAAGAGACAGACATTGTAAATGGTCCAGCAAAGGGCCACCAAGATAATAAGAGAATTGTAGAACCTGACACATAACAAAGAGAGGTCAAAAAGGGAACGTGCTTGTGTAACCCACAGAAGAGAAGGCTCAGGGAGATCGTGGTCTTCCAATATCTAAAATATTTTTTAGATGTAGAGAAGATGAAGGTGCTCTCTTCACCACCATGCATGGTAACAGGACAAAAGACCAGTGGCACAAGTTGCTTAAGGGGAAGTTTAACCTGGATATAAGAAAAATATTCTTCACCATGGAATAGGTAGCCAGAGAAATGGTGCAATTTCTATTGCTAATTCAGCTTCACAGGTCCTTAGATAACCTCATCTATGGCCCTTGCAGCAGAAGGTTGAACCAGATGATCTCCAGGGGCCTCTTCCAACTTAAAACTTTCCTATAGACCTGCAATTTTAACTTTGAAAATTTTATGTACATTTTTACTGCACATAACACTTATTTTACCTCTCTCATCTCTGTAAACAAAGCTAAGTGGCAGGACCCAGTTGACTGATGGTTAGCAAATGTGACGCCCACCTACAAGAAGGGCCAGAAGGAGGATCTGGGGAACTACAGGCCTGTCAGCCTGACCTCAATGCCAGAGAAGGTTATGAAGCAGATCATCTTGAGTGTGATCATGTGGTACATATAGGACAAGCAGGTGATCAGGCCCAGTCAGCATGGGTTTATGAAAGGCAGGTCCTGCTTGACCAACCTGACTTTTGTGACAAAGTGACCGCTTAGTGGACGAGGGAAAGGCTGTGGATGTTGACTACCCAGACTTTACTAAAGCCTTTGACACCGTTTCCCACAGCATTCTCCTGCAGGAACTGGCAGCTCATGGCTTGGATTGGTGACTCTTCGCAGGATAAAAAAACTGGCTGGAAGACTGGGCCCAAAGAGTTGTGGTGAATGGAGTTAAATCCAGCTGGTGGCCGGTCACAAATGGTGTTCTTCCCCAGGGCTCAGTACTAGGCCCAGTTCTGTTCAATATCTTTATCAATAATCTGGATGAGGGGATCAAGGGCACCCTCAGTCAGTTTGCAGATGACACCAAGTTGGGCAGGAGTGTTCAGCTGCTTGAGGGCAGGAAGGCTCCACAGAGGGATCTGGACAGGCTGGATCAATGGGCCAAGGCCAACTGTATGAGATTCAATAAGGCCAACTGCTGGGTCCTGCACTTGGGTCACAACAACCCCATGCAACGCTACAGGCTTGGGGGGGGGTGGCTGGGGGGGGGCGCCGGGGGCAAAGAGACA